AAACTAGGGGGCCGGAGATATAGCTCAGTGGCAAATGCAAGGTTGTGAGTTCAATCCCTGGTACCACCAAAAAAAGCTGCAGCAAACTAAAAAATTTTTTGGCTGGCTCAGCCCACCCTGAGGGTGGGGCTGGCACAGCACGTGGTGCCAAGGATGGAACCAAGGTCTCCTGTGCCTGCCTAAGCTTGCATAAGCAGGCATTTCAGACTGCTAAGTTATCTTGCCAGCCCCAAAACTAAAATTTAAATACCTGGAATTATGATCAACAGTCACTGTAAATGAAGAACCTTCTCTATTCTACTTTTAAAAAGGTAAAGATTATTTGTTGTAAGACCGAAAAATTATTCCAAACATAAATGTCCCACAAGTTGCACCTAAATGTGACAGTAGCTTAAAAATTCCTTAATCATTCATTAGATAATTACTCAAATTTTCTAGTATATTGTTTCCAAAGAACATATCTCTAGTAATGGCTATGATCATACAATACTGAAACACAATTCAAATATTCAAAATGTAGTGGGCTGCGGATGTATTCAATGAATGGTGGAGTGCTCACCTAACAGGTGAAAGGCCCTGGGTTCGTTCTCCAGCACAGGACAAACAAAAAAATAAATAAATAAACAAAAAACACTAATTTTTCATCAGTTTACATTTTCTTAATAGCAGTACAAAGACACAACAAAAACACAAGATAACCTGAAATTAACTCATTGGGTATAAATCTGGTTGAAGAGAAATATTGTTGAAAGAACCTCCGTGTCTCTGAGAGATTCCAAGCATTATTAGTAATTCTATGTCTTTGGGGTGGGGTGGGGAACTACCTGGAATCTCACACTTGGCGGGCAGTTAGTACTTGTACATGTTCAATAATCACATATTTTGCAACTAAATTTATTTAAATAAGTATTCGATTGATTTTCTTCAATTATATTTTCAATCATTTATCAAGATACTAATGCGAATGTGAGAATGTCTTCAGTAATTCTGGTTTATCTTTTTATTTAAGTGTGAGAAACTGACAAAATCTAGAATGAACTGGGTTGTTTTTATTTTTGTTTTTTTAATACTACTCGTGTGTTACAGAATCATTCACCAAATATGTTAAGACATATATCCTCAAAAGGCTGATGCTACAGTTTAGACTCAGACTACTAAACATTACTGCAGAAAAAAATCATTACATTATGCTGAATCACACTCTAAATTCATGAGACACTGTTCTTTGTTTCTCTGACCAACACTCTTCTCTGTACGCAAAGCTCTTCTTCCTTCTCACATTTCTGATACCTGCTTCCCATAACATTTTCATCAGAAAGAAGTTCACCTGCATTCCCAACACTACGAAATCACTTCTAACTACAGCTCTGGATAAGACAAGGCTGTCTCTTTCCATTTAAGGCTAACCCATTCAGCCATACTATGCATTTCTGTCCTTTTTTCTACTCCAGAATATCACTCCACTTTTCCAAACTTTCACTAAAACCTTCATAAACCTGTTTGTTTTTTTAAGTTATACAGAGTTAAGTCTCAAAACAAAACAAAAACAATCCTCGTCCCTCTCTATCTCTACTTCCAAGGACAAGCTCCTATGACTGCTAATATCACTTCTCATCCATTTACTTTTCAAGCTATTAAAGAGCAGCTCCTACCACACACTTATTCTACCAAATTCTGAAATGACTTATAAGTTCCTAAATACAGAGGGTTTTTCATTCAGTGTACTG